AAGGTGGCTTGCAGGTCACTAGGCTTTTCAGAATTTTCAGCCATGGCCGTCGTCATCACGTCTGACGACGATACGTTTTTCGGGTCGCCCTTGCGTCGATCTCAGTCGCAGCCCAAGTTCAACACAAAACGCTCGGGTTTCCATACGTCGGCGTCAACCTCCAGGCTCAGCGACATCTATCACCACTCGTCAAAGGCCTTCGACCACTCGACCCTGTCTTCGGCGCCTTCTTCCCCTCGGGGCATTCACCTTGAGTCGTCCGAGCTGTCGGATTCCTCTACGCCTGTCACGAACCCTTCTCTTACTTCGGACAGCGACGACGAAGATGTTCTAGAAGCCGCGATTTCGAGGCGAGGCTTTGGGGGCCGCCTGTCGCGTTATGAGGAGGCTGTGGGTTATTTCAACCATGTGGAGCATTCGGGACCCCCACCCAGTCCGCGAACGGATCAGTCATACACTTCCTCGCCGTCTGGAAATGATACGTCCACTCCCACCTCCCGACCCGAGTCTCCGGAGCTTGTTTACGATAGGGCTGAGGACGATATAGCGATCAAGATACAGCCTTCTAGACATGTGGACTACCTCTCGCACAATTGGCGCGAGGAGGACATCTGGTCATCTTGGAAGCATATTGTTGCCAGAAGGGGAGATTATGCCAACTCGGCTCGGCTAGAGAATGCCTCTTGGAGGACATGGATGAAGTCTAAGAATAACCTCGGCACAGTTTCTCCGGAGACGCTGAACTGGTATGTTCTCTTGCTGGTTTGCGCCGTCACGTTCTGGGTAACTGATGATTTCACAGGTTGAAAGATTGCGATGTAACATGGCTATACGGGCCCTTGCAGACTGGTCCTTCGATACACTCCAATACCTCGAGTAACGACAGCGCAAGGATGTCCAAGACCAACTCGTTCGCGAAAAAGCCCATTCTCAAGAAGAGGAGTATGTCGGAGCTCATGCTTCAGAGATCTCTGTCCGCGTCCTCGCTCGTCAAACAGGCGGCGGCAGCTGTACAAGCACAACAGAAAGGATGCCTGAAGAAGACTAGTCGACGACCTGGTCTAGACCGAGCCAACACTGATTTTGTTACCTTCCCATTCTCGTCTCGCGGTCTCAGTAATGACAATAGTTTGTTTCCGACAGCCGTGTCTTCCGGTCTCGTGTCTCCGAGTGGTGAACGGAAGCATATTCACTTCAATGAGCAGGTAGCACAGTGCATTGCTGTGGAAATCAAAGGGGACGACGATGAAGACGACGTCGAGCCCGAGATCAACTACAACAGCGATTCGGATGACGACGCAATCATGATGAAGCGGACGAAGGGGAAGAAGCTGAGACCTGTATTAAAAAGGACAAAAAGTCACAGCCACAGCGGTGGAGAGAGCAGGACAATTGCCATGCTGCCCTCCACCACGCTCAAGTATCGGGAGGACACCCCCGAACCAGCGGAATCGGCCATGAAGCACAGCACTGGTGTGTTTAGGGGAACAGTACTGTCCCCTTCTTCGTCTCAGGAGACGTTACGTCCGGCCAAGAAGTCCGGCAGATTCTTCGTTGACAGCGATGACGAGGACGATGAAGACGACGAACCGACGTCAAATTGGTCCTCTGCGAAATCTACGGAAGGCTCGCTCGGCGGGCTCCGTCGTTCAACCTCGTCTGCCAGTCTTTTGAAAGAACCAGCTGGCATGAGGAGAACTGAGTCGGGCATGTTCATGCCATACGAACAAGGCGAAGACTCCAACAGTGAAGGCCTTTTAGGCCGGGTCATTGATACGGTAAATACGGCCCGGGACATAGTCCACGTTATCTGGAACGTTGGGTGGAAGAGATAATCTACCACTTGGCTAGACAACTCTTATTAACCAATCCATTTTTCAGAAGGAGGCCACGGCGAATAACTTGAACACACTACGATTTCGACTCGGCTGAAGTTTTTTCAACTTGAAGAACAATCACACAAAATAATTCCGCTCGATGGGCTACTATCCAAACATCGCATCTGATGCCAGAGCATGGCGCGCAAAAGTGGATCCGCAACAACGACCACGACGACGACCTGCCAACATTATTATCTCGAAGCGGCAACAACCGCAGATATACCCCGGAAGGTCTCCGAGGGGCCTTCCGGTTGCATTGATCACGACAACGCGAAAGCATGCATTGCCATGGTGTTATAGGGTTACATTAATGGTACTTGGTTTTTTTTTTTTCCTTTTTTTTTTTTTCTTTTCCTCCTTCCTACCACTTTGTTTTTCAAAAACCACCCGGTTCAGAGTTGGCAGGGGGAGAGCCTGGCGCAGGGAGGGATGCACTAGGTCTTCGTCACATCGATCGTCAAACAATCAATACCATTTTCCGAGTTGTGTCTTGCTTCATGTCTGACGTATAGGCTTGGTTCGGCTCGGTTTCGGGTTTCCGGTAACGGGTTGAGGAGGCTTATACCGCAGGCTTTTGGAATTCTTACTTGGCTTTGCTCTGGTGTTGGGGGAAGACAAAAATCTGCAGAGGGGAGAACAACGGCATTTGCTCTTTGAGCCCTTGGATAATACTCCTTGCCCTCAGGCGGAAAAGTGAAGTCGATATGGTCAGGAATTCAGCTCTCAGGACTTGAGGGTGGCGTTCGAGCGCCAGATGCATTTCCATGGCGTTGGACGGAGAAACCAAAAGGAAAAAAAAAGTGTGTGTCTGGATCTATCTTACAAATCAGCTCATGTTAACATTCATACTCCTATCCATATTACGGCGGCGCAAAAAATGGTGGAGGCATTCTTATGACCGGTACTTGGTTGAAAGTGAGGGTTATTCATGTGGCTCATAGTAATTGAAAACACCACTGTACATCCTGTGCATAGTGGTTAACAAAGATTCTCAGCCAGAACCTAGCATATTCCGAACTGCAGTCCCATCCATAGGTGTGTAATCTGGCTTGCTGGTAGTTCATTATGAAAGGCTGATATTAGAGGTACGTACCATACCATCCAAAACGACATTCAATGCCGCGAAGAAAGTACAAAGATACCTCCCTCATATGCTGCCAGCTGGCGGCGCCGCCCAACCTGGAAGCTGGTGAACGCGTGCGTGGGAGCTGCCTGGTTGGTGGGCACCTGCGTGTAGGGAGCTCCAAACTGCCCGCCTTTCACTTGCTACCCACTGCCGCTGACGCCGCCATAGCTGCTACCTTGCCAGGCTAACAACAGTGAACGAACGCCTCCACTGACAGCCCATTTCGAACCTCAACATCGTCACCATCATCTCAACCAGTTGTCCAACTTCCATCGTCCTCCCGCCGAACGTCTCTCCCCCTCGCAACAATCTATAGCTTCCCGAACCGTCTTTGGGAATCGCCGAACCGCATACCGAACATCGAATCCTCGTCCTTTCAAACAACTTAGTCGACCATCATGGATGCGCTTGTCGCAAGGTACAGCCGTCCGGCTTACCAGCAGAATGAGCTCTTCTCGGAAGAGGAACAGCAAGATCTTTGCGAAACCCAGCCTCCTCTGTCTCTCAAGTTTGCCATGCCTCCAGTAGCTCATGTTCGTCTCTCCTTGTCTGCCTGATCTCCCCCTCCTCAGTACATCTCTCCCAGTACCCCTCCGGCCTCATCTCTCTCCCTGCTTGCCCCATCCTAGCTAGCTAGCTAGCTAGACTCCGTCAATGACGAGCCACAACGACGACGACAACAGTAACGATGGTGATGATGTCTTGACAATAAGCTAACTTCATTACCCACAACAGCCCTCCTCCTGGCTCCGCGCCGCAACCGACGACCGCGCCAACCCTTCGTGCCCCATCAAGATCGCCCACGGCACGACCACACTCGCCTTCCGGTTCCAGGGCGGCATCGTGGTGGCGACGGACTCTCGCGCGACCGCCGGCAACTGGATCGCCTCGCAAACAGTCAAGAAGGTGATCGAGATCAACAGCGACTTGCTGGGCACCATGGCGGGCGGCGCAGCCGACTGCCAGTACTGGCTGGCGTGGCTGGGCATGCAGTGCCGACTTCACGAGTTGCGGCACAAGCGCCGCATCAGCGTCGCGGCGGCCTCCAAGATCCTGGCCAACCTGGTGTACCAGTACAAGGGCATGGGCCTGTCCATGGGCACCATGTGCGCCGGCGTCACCAAGGAGGAAGGACCTGCGCTTTACTACATCGATTCGGACGGCACCCGGCTGGCAGGTAACCTGTTCTGCGTTGGGTCTGGTCAGACTTTTGCCTATGGCGTCCTGGATGCCGAGTATAGATACGACCTGACGGTGGAGGAGGCGCTCGAACTGGGCAGCAGGAGCATTTTGGCCGCTACACATCGTGATGCTTACTCTGGTGGCTTCATCAACTTGTACCACGTCAAGGAGTCGGGATGGGAGAAGCACGGCTTCAACGACACAAACCCCATTTTCTGGAGGACCAAGCTGGAGAAGGGCGAGTTTAGCAACGTCACCAGCGACTTCAATGAGGATGATTCGACCCGCGTTTAAGAGAGGAAGAGGAATGAGGGACAGAAAGTAGTGATCATGGCTTGACTGCCCTGGGACTGAATGGACGGATGTCAGGGAGGCAGGGGCACTTGGCCAGCAGCATACTACACATGATGAAGAAACGATATGAGCAACGAATGGGTCCCCATAGCATTCTAGATTCTTACAGCCAATGCGACATTGGAATGAATCAGCTCGACAAGGCCGTATGCCTACTTTATACGTATGTGAAAATATTGTGCAAGAAGGGTGATCAAAAGCAATCAAAGCCCTGACGTCCCAAGTCTAGAAAGCACGCTTGATGGCCCCTTTCCACCGAGCTGTATCCATATCAATAATAATAATAATACATTTTACGCTTCTGACTGCTGCTCTCATACAGATGAACTGTTATTACACAAAGACATAACAAAGTACCCTAGCGCCCCAAACACCCATCACCCATGCACACAGCATGTGTTCTTTCTCAACCTAGCAGTCGCGATACTCCCAGTTAATCCTACCCGTACGGTCGCGGCTCAACGCCTCACATAAAAGGGTTTCTCTTCCGTTCCCAGGATCCCGCCCTGTTCGCCGGTCGAACTCATGCTCCACTTCTTAATTGGCAACATGTCCAATTTGCTCACCCAGCCCGCCCTCCACATCTCCGACCCGGTCCACGCAATCATGGCCGCGTTGTCCGTACACAGGTTTACAGGCGGAGCCATAATCCGAATGTGTCCGAACCCGCGCACCTCCAACACGCGACGGAGAACGTGCCTCAGAAACTGGTTGCTCGCCACGCCACCCGATACCACGAGCGTCTTGACCTTTTGCTGCTCGCCCGACGTCTTGGCCTGCTGCTGGAGCACCATGACAATGCGCGAGGCGAGGTGCTCAAAGGCTAGCTGCATCGTCGCGCGGGCTAGGTAGCGGCGCTGCTCAATCTGGTCTTCCTCTTTGAGGGCGGGGGAGAGAATAGTGGTGGAAGAGTCGGGTGAGGGCGCCAAGTCGGACCCGGACTCGGGAGAGTCCTCCAGCGAGAGGACTTGTTCCGTGGGTTTCTCATACGAAGAAAAACTGTCCAGAGAGTCGGCAATCCGCTGCGCTTGGGATCCGAGTCCGGTGAAGTTGTACTCCATCTTCCTAGAGGCGTACAGAGGCGGCGAGAGGTGCCAGCCGTAGGGCGAGTTGTGCTGTTCGATCTCGGCGGCCCGCGTGGCTGGGGGGGTGTACTTGAAGTTGTACTCCCTCTCGTCGGCGCCGATGGGGAAGCGGGGGAAAGCAAAGCGCTCTAGCGCGGCGGCGTACATGACATTTTGACCCGAGTTCAACATCGAGGGCGGAAGGATCTTGCGCGCGGCTTTGTCGAGCATGTCGCCCAGGGCGATGTTATCGGTCGTACACTGGATGAGATGCGACGTCAGGGAGGCCGAGTAGACCAGTTGGGTGTGGCCACCAGAGACGAGCAGGTTGAGGTAGGGGTAATCGAGGTTGGGGTGCTGAGCCTCTTCCTGCTGTCCTGATGCTGCTTTTACTTCGGCATCGACCCGTTGGCGTGCTTCCCATGGTGATGATGCGACGCTGAAAGCAGCGGAGCGGTCGAGAGCTTCGACGAGCTGCGGCGTGAGAGCGTGTGCTTGCATGTGGTGGACTCCCACGATCGGGATGCCCCAGGCCAGAGCGAGACCCTTGGCTACTTCCATGCCAGTCGCCAGGCTGGTGGGCATGCCGGGGCCACGGGTGACGGCGATGAGGTCTGGGGTCCGGTACGGCAGTTTGGTTTTCTGGGAAGCCGACGTGTTGCCTTCGGGAAGAGACCGGATGGCCTCTTCGACCAGGGTTGCGAGGTGGCGCTGGTGCCACTCGACGGCAACGGCCGGGTGGACGCCGCCAAACTGGCGCTGGTCCGACGTGATTTTCTTATTGAAGAGTAGGCGGGCCACCAACTCAGGTTTCTCGGTCCTCTCGGTGCTCTCGTAGCTCTGAAGGAGGGCAACGCACGTATCATCGCAGGATGTCTCAATGGCCAAGGTGAGGAGTCCTTTCTGGCGCTTGAACTGCGTGACATGTCCAAGAAGTCTGTTCTGTTCCTGCTTGTGCCGTGGCTCAGCCATAGTGTTCTGAATTTTTGTGAAATTGGCGATGTGCATGTTTGATGTTGATTCCGGTGTTGATGCTTGAGTTAACGCTGGTGTTGATGTTGGCTCATGAGATGTGCTCATGGCTTTGGGGGAAGATGCTCGTCTTAAACACCATGGCTGCTGTGGTCGCTCTTGTCGAACACGACCTGTCCCGAGCCTTCCTCTTACTGTCCATGCTCGAACTCCAGTACCGTGGAAAAGTCGTAGTTGCCTCATGTTTATTTTCCTCTATCGACTCTTCTTCATCTGATAGATTAAATAGGTAGATACCTAGGCAGTGAGTGAGCGTCCACCATGCGACACTTGCCGAATCGGGCTTCCGGCTGAGGAGCGACGATGGTGTTCACCTGAGAGTCAAACCGCGCTCACCTAACCTCCAAGTCGAAAGTCTTTGGTAAAGATTCCATGAAATATTACCCGGTGTAGAAAAAGGTCACTTCCCGACCGCAGGATGTGTTGACGATGGAGTAACTTCAAGTTGATGGGTTGATGGTGTTGTTGAGGTGAGAAACAAAAGCTAGGGCACTCATTGGCAACTGGCAACGGCTGCTGTCCAGCTGCCAGAATCAGGGGGTGAACGCTCCTTCCCCTTTTCACTAGCTCTTGCTTCAAAACATCAAAATTGCCAGTCAGCCAGTGTACATTCTGCCTTCTCGCTTGGAATGTTCAATTAAGTTGTTTTATACACAACTGAATTTACATTTGACACGGGTCGGTTTTTGGCTGTTAACTAACAATTTGCTTGAACGATTTTGTGGTATCTTGTGTCCGAGTGACTTCTCCTATCTCCCATACGAACATCTATGTTCAACGCTTCTGGTATAGAGACGTGGTCTCTGATGAAAAGTCGACGAAAAGAAAAAGCGAGAAATAACAATAAACCTTGAAAGCAATAATTTTGAACTTCCTGCGCCCGCCATGCATTTGTGGCTTGAAGCTCGTCCACCAGGTCTATATCCCATATGAGATCAAGCAGCACCTGCATTCAGCTTCACCCAGTTGGTATATCTACACCGACACCCTCCGGTACCTCCATCCATCCCTCCAAAGCTCGGATCAAATGTCGCGCCGGGGTTGACCCAGTCACCTGTCTGGTTCATGTTGTTCAAGATAAACTTGGTGTCATTCATCAAAATCTTGCCGCCCGCTCCGACCCCACGACTAAACGCAAACTTCCTTCCTGGAATTCCACCATGGGTATCCAGCGTGACTGTGATGGGGTATGGGAAAGTCCCCGGACGTGTGCTGTTGTTGCTTGCAGCTCCACCGTTGGATTGCGACCCCAGCAGACGGGTGGCGTTGACCTGCCGCGTCCAGATTTCCACCTTGTATCGCGCCGAGAGCCAGGTGATGATGGCTTTGGAGTCAAAGGCCGTGGAGCCGCCGACGCGGTCTGACGAGGCGTCGCCGGTGAGGTAAACGCTCTTGTTGTAGTAAGTGTAGAAGCCGAAGTGCTCGGTCGGTAAGCCGCGGTCGAAGAGGCGGAGAGGCTGTTGAGTAGGGAAGGGCATGAGGACGGCCGGAGCGCCGGTTCCGTCGGGATTCAGGACAGGCGGGATGAAGGAAAGATCGACGCCGCCGCTCTTGGATTGCCGCTCGTTCAGCTGATTGGAGGCAGAATCAAAGTCTTCGTCACGACGAGCGAGGGCATTGGGCCCAACAGAATCATCGAGAGTTCGTAGAATGCTGATGTAAAATGGAGTCGGCTCTCCAGCCTTGTCTTGTGACATGATGCCGTCGGTCGTGTTTCCCAAAAAGTAAATATCTTGAAACTCGGGCGGGGATGGGCGCGGAATGAACCCAAGGCTCGGGGCTTGCTGGGTTTGACGACGCAAAAGGCTCTTAACGACAGAAATAAAGCCCATCGGCTCGCCGCCAGATTGTGGACGCTGTCCCCTCGTCTTGTTTGCTTCGGTACCATTAGTAACGGAGCTTTTGTTGCTCCCAGTCTGGGACGGCGAAGCAGCTGCTTCAGCATCTTGAGTGGGAATAGGCGTGGGGATTGTCTGGCCCGTGACATTCCACGCTGGTTGTGTGCTGTTGTCGAATTGAATCTGGATAATGAAGCTGGGCTGATCGGCAGCAAAGGGTTCCGCCTGTGCAGTTTGGTCTCTGGGCAGTGCACAACTCCAGAAGCGCGGGTCCTGAGCACATGAGGTATCAGTGACAGAATCGGTGCCAATGACCGTGGAAATGCCCGTCGGGATCGGCGGGTAATCCGTGAGGTTAAGCCAAGGCGAATAAGGGGCGGGCTTGCCAGCCTTGGGACGCGACAAGACGACCCCGAGCGTCACAGCGAGCGCTACCAACCCGAGAGTGACGACGAAGACGGCCAAACACCACCGTCTACGCTTCCTGCCTTCTCGGCCGGCCCGGCCAAAGCAGCCGTTTTCCGGAATACAGCCACGTCCTCTCCACATTCCACCGATCTTGCGCGCCACAGCTTCCTCCTTCTCGTTACGGCGCCGTTTTTGCTCGACCTTCAGCCTTTGAGCAGCGGGGACGAAGGAACCGGGTGGCCCGTTTGGGAAGTCTCCGTGATGAAACGCAGGTCTGGCAGGAGGTGGCCTCGCAGGAACATAGGGCAAATCGATCGCGCCTTGCGAGGTCATCGTCTGCGCGAGACCTGGAGACACTGGACCCGGAGAAGGTGGGTACATGGAGTTCAGCGGATGGTTGGAAGGAAACACGGCTCGGTATCGGATGTTCTCGACATTCTGGGCATTCCGGACGTTTTGGTTCCTCTTCGGGGGCGAGTACGGAGGAGGCAATTCAGCTAGAGTCGATTCGTTCTCCTCAATCAATATGCGAGCCTTCTCGGCATGGGATTGTGGCTGCGAAACCATCGGTACTGTTGTTGGCATCGCTGCTGCTGCTGTTGGTAAGGAGGATGCTGTCGCCGTTGATGATGTCGCGAAGGGGTTGTAAGAAGAGGAAGAAGCCTCAACTTGCGAGACATCCTGAATAACAATTCTGGGTGACCGATTTGCTTCCACGGCAATTCCCGAGGACCCCTGACCAAGGGTATTGTTGTTGGGAGACAAAGACCCATTGTTGCCCATCTTCCACCAGTCCTGTTTGTCGTCCTCCTTTTGAATGCTGGTAACAGGGGTTCTTGACATTACCGGGCTTTGCGTGAATGGGGAAGTAATCTGATCCCACCAACCTTGTTGTGACCGTGCGGTTAATGTCGCAGATACGGGACTCTTTGCTTTGGTGAGAGACCTCTGTCGCACCGCCAAAGGACTTCCATCCTCTTCAAACAGAGTGACCGGAGTGGCCATGTCGTCATCATCATCACTGAAGTAGACCGTGGTAATAAGCCTTGGCGGGCTTGATTTTCCATATCCCTTTGGAGTGAGCAAATTTTCTTCATTGTCGCTGAAATAGAATTCTGTTGCCCCGGTATGTCTATACTTGTTGGGAACCGCAGGCACAGCCGGCACGGTGCCGGCACTGGGGCCTGCTGTCCTGTACGAGTTGATGGTAAATTGGGAATCCGGAGTGTCTGGTGACCAGACTGAGACGGGCTGTTTTGTTGTGGGAGGCGGAGAGAAGTATCTGTCCAAGTCAACCGGTGTAGCAACGACGGCAGTTTGTGGACTGATGACGACGTTTGAATCTGATGGCATGGCGAATCCGATCATGATGCCGCCAACACTTGGTGAAAGCTCGGCCACAGTAGGCGTATCTACCGCTAGCCTATCCATCCTTCTCTCAATCGGAGTAGCTGAAGCTGGGCTGTTGCTCTTCTTCTTCCTTAGCCAAGCAAACGTGCCGATAGATTCGTCTGAAGCCATTCCCTCCAGTGCGTTTAGGGCAGCCGCGTCCACGAACTTTCCACTCCCGTCGAGTCCTTTTCCTTTGTTCAAAGCCTCCTGGTTGGCTAGCTGTTGTTGTAATTGCTGCTGCCTCAGTTTTGTCATGTCTGTGATTAACGTGATGCCAGCCTTGGCATTCTGTGCCTTTTGCCTCTGACGTGACCTTGCACGCCTGATTCTCTGCATGGAAAGGCGAGCCGTCGAGGACGATGTACGTTGTGTTGATGGTTTCGTCGTATAGTTGGTATTGTTGGTGTCGTAGGGGCTGCTGAAGGTTGGGGTAAGGGAAGGAAGCTCACCCTCCTCCTCCTCCTCCTCCTCTTGAATCGGTGTGAATGGCTCATCGTCAAACCAGTCCTCCCATTCCTCCTTCCTATTGTTGACTGTATGGTGAAATGAGGGACCCGGATGCGCCATCGGACCGTTCATGTTGACAGCCATCGTGAACAATGTAATGTTGCGTAAGTCGTTCGACTCATCAAAAGGAGTGTGAATGGTCGGGAAGCTCGCAGTAGACTCGGATGGCCAGCAAGCGAGTTGTTGAAGGAGAGATCAAGTTGGAGTCCTGTCCTGTCATCAAAAGACAAAAACACTTTCTCGGTCCCAAAGGTGTGAGACGAGTGAGTGAGCCATGTGTTTGCGGGTGGACAAGTTGGGTGGGCCAAAAAGATAAAACAATAGGAGGTGTGACTACCTATTCACAGGACCTGCCAGATACTGTCTGAATGAAATTCGAGATCGGACTGAATTACCGAAGGGGGAGTGGACAGAATGATTCGGGTGAAAGACTAGAACGAATGAACAATGGGTTCCCTCTCCATCCCGTGGCTGAGGCAGAACCGTAACAAGAAAAGACTGTCGAACCCGCGAACACACGTACATACACACAACACACACTTTGATAATAGCAACAACCCGAAGCAAAAGAGAAAGAAGGAGAAGGAGGAGGAGGGCGGCCCAGTCAAGAAAAAGAGAGGCCATGTCTTTGGTCATGGCGGATTCCAGTCATTTCGTCCATCGTGCCAATTGTTACAGGGCATGCACCACCAGACGCGTGAGTGGCCGGTCGACTCATCTAAAACTGTGTCTCGTCGTTGAGCAAAGCGCCGTCATGGAGAAGGTTTGGCGCAGCCGAGGAACGATGTAGTCTGGAATAAGCGCCGCCATGCTGTTTTGCTGGTGATGGATTGGCTGGAAGCTGTTGGCCCTGGCAGCTCTTGGCATCTGTCTGTTGTACAGTCTGCCTCTCATTGGTCAGCTTGTGTGGAGCTCAAGCCAAGCCACCGCCTGTGTCCGCCTGGGATTCTTGGCGGCGGGAAGAAGAGAGAAGAACATTTCCACTTCCTTTCCACTTCCTCCCCAATTATCATCAAGCACCTCCAGCCACCCAATGATTCCAGACCAGCAAGTCCATTTTCCAACCCCATCTTGTCACTCACCCCGCTATACACTACCTATGTATCGACCATCGCTGAAACACGCTAGAATATCAATCAGAGACGCGATACCGCGTTTGACACTTGGATTGACAATGTTATTGACAGTCCAGAACCCCAACCTTCAAAGTGTGGGAACTTCCCGTCCGTCCTTTGGCTCGTGATCACCACGTACAACGCAGTACGCCCTAGGCACAGACGGGATGACATGTTGAGGTTGCGGGTCTCTGTAATTCAATCTACTTGTGACTGCAATCCCCCACCTTGGCATGTTGTTACGTTGAAGGTCGAGCCTAGCAACTTTACATATATCTAGGTAGTGACGGTGATGTCTTGCTACCTAACCAGTGAGGTCGCACATCATCTCTCTCTTGTGTTTGCGGTTGCAGATGGCTTCAGACCCTCATCCTCTCGGGGGCTTTACAGGCGCGTTGTCTGTGTACCCATCGGACATCACACTCATTTTCTTTGACGGGTGGCTGTCTTTGTTTTCGCAGCCAAGAAACCTCAGAGGTAGCATCTTTGGCATCGCGGCTTTTAGGAGAGGAGATTACTATCAAGTGCCCCTTCTATCAATACGGTTCGGACCGTTAGATAGTGAAAAGGATTATCCATGGAAAGCCTCATTCTCTGTTCAAAGCTCCGGTGTGGCTGGGTTGGTACTTTGGAGAGCTGGGTTGGATAAAACTCGAAATCCCTTGGTTCGCTGCACCGTTGGTCACACACAGAGTGAGCAACAAGCGGTCACCCTCCAACATCTACCATAGTGTACAGTATCTTGAAACCCATCATTAACTTGGGCCTGCCAAGATTGCCAAGCTTCATGGCGCTAGACCAAGCTTTTTTCGCCAAGCTGCCAAGGTATTTCCCCTGCTTCAGACGTCATCTTCAACGACGAGGAGGAAACACCTAGAAATTCATCAGACTAACATCTGATCGTTTCGTGAATATCGGGTCGAGTTTAGAGTATCAAGACGTAGATGCTAAGTGGAGATTGGTATGCCAAGTTGGTCGTCACCACAGCAAGGATCCTCAACAATTAGACCCGAGTACGTGTACACCTAATTCCCAATGGCAAACTGTAGGGCCGGCCTGAAGTCGACGCGATGAGAGATCACTCCGATCAAGGTTATACATCCTTTCCACGCTTCTCTTGTTGCAGCAAGAAATAGGACATCACATCAGGTAGTAAGGGAGCCAAGCTTTGACTTGTCATGACAAGAAAGTGATTCAATTCAACCGCACAAACGAAGTTGACTACTGAGGGCACTCAGGCAGACCTCATCTCAGCCAGCGGCCTCTCCCTCGCAAGCCTGACCGAGCTCTTTGGAATCATTTCGCACATCTCACCTCTGCCGAGCTCGCCGGGCCCATGGCTCGGTAAGATCTCTAGCAGCAAGCGCACTCCTCTGAACAGCAGCAGCAGCTGCACTCCTCGACGAAGCCGCCGCGCAATGTTCCTTCGGTCGTCATCTCGGGCTGTGGCTCAGTTGTCTGAATTACGTTCAAAGTCTTTGGTTAGTCTTACGATCCAACGCTTTCCAGTGTGTGGATGCTCAGATTGGCGAGGATTTGACCTACAGGCTGCTGGGAGATGATGGCGTCCTGTGGGGTCACCATCTCCATGGATTGTTGCGGCTGGGGAACGTTGTCGGTGGAAGAGGGCATTTTGGATGATTGTAGGTCTATCGCGGTGGGGCAGAAGACGGTAGTAGACTTAAACTGGCGCTTGATCTCTCTTGACTCGGTGTTTAATGGACGTAGGTGTTTTTAGGCTGTTAAGTCGGTGTAAATGTACGAGAGACAGAAAACGGAAGAGAGCAAGTAGGAATGAACCAGATGAGGAGTTATGGGAATTTATTCGGGCCCCGCAAATTGCGCTGACGCGTAAGAACGAATAAGGTGTGTGAACCAACTTGCATTCTGACCTGGGAGTTTTGAATGGCATTGGTCGCTGGCTACCTCCCTGCCCTGACTTGTCGGATGGTCGGCGGGTCGGCTGACACGACATCGTATCGTCGGTGATGTGGGCAGGAGCAATCCAACCACAGGCAAATACTATTCCCGGACTCTTCCGTTGGGACAAAAGCGCTATCGGCTTATGTGCTACCTTCCCGATTACTATAGTCAAGGGATATTCGGATCTCTTCCTTTTATGCGTGTAGTCCGAACTCCGAAGCGTTTGCCCAAAATCGGTTTCGCTATGACCTCAACGTCACGAATCACTAGCTGTCTAGAATTTTGCTATGACCAGGGGCAAGTGTAGGTACCGTTTTCTGCCAACAGAACTGTTCGCTTAAGTATTCGTACGCCTTGAGAGTGGATCGGTTTTGCTGCCTGCTTCAATTGGAAACGTTACCTGAAACATTCACATTATCGACATCACAAGTTATGTCTGTGACATTTTACGGTCAAACATGTGCAGAATTGAAAAAATAGAGGATGGTTCGTCGGCTACAAGCATCTGTCACACACGTTATGTCATGACTTACAAGCATTCTGACGAGTTTTATGGGCGGGATGATCCAGCACTGAATCTCTTGAGCTCACAAGGTCCCAAGCAGGTGGCTCAACTTCCAGCGAGCTCTAGTTAAGCATAGTGTTGTCACCGAGTGAAGTCGCGTTGAAAATGGGAATGGCAAGTACTACTTCAACCTAGGCATTTGTAGGATCTCAGTGTCCAAGACTATCTGCATCCACTGAGGTCACGGTACGAGCTACTCCAACTTATTTACTTCATTGATTTAGGCGGAATAGAAAAGCTACCTAGCTAATTCTCAGGTGGAACAAAGCGCAAAGTGTGTTGGTGGAAATAGGTAGGTATGTAGGGCCAAGTGGCTGGCCGCGAGCCATAGTGCTAACGAGCTTGGGGGTTGCTTTGTGAAGGCTGCCATACGAGCTGTTAAAGTCTAGTGCGTGCGGGGTTTTGTATTGGTTCCGCCCGCGAAAGGCACCGACACCGAACTCGATTTTTTTTTGGTTTTTTTCCCCCCCAATCATCACAGCTCGAATAGCTATATAGAATGATGGTCGCATTGTGAAATCTGTATGATTTTTCCCGTCGATTTATTGAAAAGCCACTTGTCTTTGGACAGGAGGAGCCTGTAGTTGTATACTATGTATATCCCCCCTAGGAAGGTTCGTTAGCGCGGGACTTTACAACACACTCCTCGCTATCAACCACCATTCCACCACATTTCATGCAAGAAGTTGGTATCAAGTAGTTGCGTTTTGGGGGCTTTACACACTTGACTTAATTTTCTATACCGAATGTCCTTGTCCCGTTGTTTTTCTGCAAACCTTTGTAGACCCTGTCATAAGAACCGCGCTAACAAACCTTTACGGGTTGCATGTTGTCGAGTCTGCTGTATCAATACACTAGATAGCGGCGGTTGATCTTGGTGGCTTCGATCTTACTATTAACACTGAAGAAGACTTGGGCATCATGGATATTGAAGATGGACATGTGTTCTTCCACATCCATTATGTGTGTTTGACAAACAAACTGTCCAAACATCAGGGCGGCTAGGCCATAAGCTTGGTTTTCTCTTATTGCAGGGGCTGGAGACTATGATCAGTGTTCTGAAGCTTCTAGCAAAAGTTGCCACATCCCGAGTAGCTCCAGCGTCCTCTCATTCAAGACCAGGACGCCTGGGGTAGTCAAGAAAAGGAGGATCGTCAAGAATCACTCCGCCAGTTGATCCAGTTTATCGTGGGGCCCCTACGAGAGTACGTCTAGTTGGTTTGCCATCTCCGTTGATAATGCTAAAAGTTTGGTAACCGATGGTGGGTTACCAGCGATGTTCTGCGACACGCCACCACAGTAAACCAAAGGTTCATGGGTACCGTAGCCATCCTCGATATGAGTTGACATCTGGAGGTCGAGATGCCATTTCTGCCATAGGTTACCACCTGTTATCCAGAAAATGTATCGTCATTGGCATCGTCTTAGGTAGGGGTCGAGATGGCGTGCCGTGGGGTACCCCGTAGTCGTTCATTAAGTGCAGACCCCCATGACCTCTATCTCCGTTGAGGACCAGGTTTGTGCGGGTGCTAGAATGGTGAAACATCGGAGGGGAGACAAGGAGATTTGACCCCCTTTAGATTGCGAACATCACCACATCACCCGCAACATTACTTGGGGGTTAGCGGTGGAGTCTTTTGCCAACCCCCTCTCATTAAAGAGGGGGAAAATTTTCTGTGGGACAACCGTTTAATCTGGGACAGCCCACATAGAATTTTACTAGTAATCTGACCTATCCCTATACTAAACTACTACATTATACACTACAATAACGTTGTTGGAAGCTATTAGAAACCCGGTATATTATTTAATAAGGTAGTAAATAAATAAAAGAACGAATTATAGTTACTTTTTATTATTTTCTAGTGCTGGTACCCCCTCTACTAGTGCCCCCTCTACTGGTACTCCCTCTATTAGTAGCGCTAGTACTGGTTTGGGTACGGGCGGCACCTCCTTTACTATTGCCTCCTACTTTACTAGTATAGTCTTAATACGTGCAGCTTGCTTTCTTACCTATATTTAAGGTCTTACAATACTCTTAACGTACTTTATAACCCTATAGTATAGTATTGATTTAAAAGATTGTAATTGTAATAAAGTAGAAGGGATGGTTGGCGTTGACGGTCTAGTTTATATAGTATGAGGTTTAGGCGTAGCGGGCGGGTTAAAGAGATAGCGGTTGATTAATTAGATTAGTGGTAAGTCGACCTCCTTACTTCTATCCTCCTCCTCCTCCTTATCCCTATTATCCTCCCCCTTGTATAATTCTCTATAGTTAATTTTATTATTATTGTTAATAAAGGTAGTCTTGTTTTTAAAGAGTGTATTGACTATTTGTGTATTGAGATGATTAATAATGTTGGTAGTAATTTTAATAGTAGATTATTAAGGTAGGTGAGGAGGCGAGGATGAGGGTTCTAGTAATTGTATAGTAGAAGGATTATTACTTAGATTAATATTAATTGAGTTGTTAGAGAAAAGGTAAGAGGGGTTACCCTATACTTTTTTAAAGACTGTTGGCACTAGTATACCTACTGTGTTACGTGTAAATAACCTATCCCTATCCTCCTCCTCTCTTTCGTTGAGTATATCCTCTTCGTAGATTAGTATATACTTATTCTTTAACTATTCCTTCTTCTAATTATTAAGGTAGATTCTCTATATAACTTTCCCCTTACTGTTGATAAAATCTTTGAGTTAATTATTGTAAACCTGCTTTTAAGTTTTTTTATTGTATAATTTAACGGCCATTAATTACCTCTTCTCCTTAGCCAACTACTCTTATTATTGCTTTTCGATAGTACGTTGGTTGAAATTTCCCTTTAAAAAACTCAATACCTCACCCTCTTATGGTAATTTATATATTTGTCTCTTTATTTTATGGTCGAGGTTAGCCGCTTTCTTTTAGTTTTAACGGTTGTACTCCTATACGGTATTATATATTAATAGCGCCTTATAGATTACGATTTTAATGGCGTAATAATGGGCATAGGTTGGCGAATTGAACGTATAGTAGTATTTATCTTTAATATAGGTAATGATTTTAGTAGTTTCTTGAAAGCGGTCTTCTTTGGGGAGTAATGAGGGTAAGGCGGGGTTAGTTTTCTTAGGTTACTTCGTTCGGATTTATATTAGGATTTTCGTACGGTTAACTGGCTATATACTAATATTAGAAAACCTGTTAAAGATATTGTACCCGGTTATACTACTATTAAGGATATACTAAAGTATTGGGGATGTTATAATTAATAGGGATATGAAATGAGGGTATAGGGGGGGGAGCGAACTTTGAGTTTTCTAATAAATGTAGTGCAAGTAAAGTTGAATTCTCTACGTTGAATGAATTGTTGTAATACCTTCTAGTAATGAGCTTTAAGAGATAAGAATACTCTAACGTTAAGTGGCTGTATTATATAGGTTAAGTAGGGAGGTAATACTATTAATATAATATTGAAGGTATTAATATACTCTTTAATTTCTATACTATAGTGACTATTAAATCTATTGATAATTAATAGACGGTAAATTAGTCGGTATAGCCTTCTCAACCCCACTCTATTGTTTAGATCGTTGAGCTTCTTGTTAGTATAGTTAACCCTATATTGGTTATACCCAAATTAGTTTTGAAAAGAGAACCCTTTATTTCCCAATTTATGGCCGTCCTCCTCCCTTAATTTTGTAAATGTTGGAGATAAGTAGAAGGAGTATTAATTGAAATACTTTAATTAATTGAGTATGAGGTTGGTATTTGAAAAGCTAGTTGGTAATTTAGTAAAGTGGACGGCGTTATTAAGGTCGTTAGCGATAAAATCCTCGGTTAGATTAGTTTTAAATATTATATAAATGGGGATAGTCTTGCCAGTTGCGTTTATGCTAGTTATAAGGGTAGCCGACTCTCGGTTGGTAATATCGTTAATTTTTAGTTGGGAGAAACGGTAAATATTTACCCTTATATAAATTTACTAGTAAAGTAATGTGTTGATTTACCTTCTGCTTCGCTAGATCCCTTAGCACAACTACCCTTACGTATCCGCCCGCTATATAACCGAATTTTATATTTATTTTATTATAGTTCTAAATGTCCTCCCTAATAATATTGTACTTTTTGAGTACGGCTTCGTAGTCGTTAAACTACTTATTAATA